ATCGAGGTAAACGTCAAACGCTTTTGGAGTCAAATCTTGCATCATTCATATCTTTCAAGAAGGATGGCCACAGGCAAAAACTATAAGAAGCTTTTGCCGTAGTCGACCACCTTATCATCATTTTGCCGGGTAGTGCTGAATCAAATGAACAAAAACTCTTATATACCTGCAGAATTGCTCTTATGCCTTTGAAAGAATGCAGTAAATTGCACATCTGCTCTGTATTTTCACGAAACAACATAAGAAGCTTACTAATCAACGCGCGTAGTAAAGGTTCTATTTGTTGAAATATGTGCTACTTGTGCTAATAATTTTAATTTATGATTTGGAATCTTTTAGCGCTTACCATATGGTGTCGGAAAATTAGGTGTACTATGTATCATCCAGAATCCAAACTCGGCATCAAATACCGCTACTCCCTTGCTATGCGCACGCTGACTGTTAGCCGTCTTCTTACCCGGAATATTATCATTGTACGCAATGGCAAAGGTGTTATTCTGAAGCGTAATGATTTTAATCAATAAGTTTGACTTTCAGACAACCTTATTGATCCCATAAAATTGACTGATTGTCGCTCCAATAGCCGATGTCTTGTCGCTGATTGGCGAAGCACTCAAAGTCCAATTGTCTTGTTGTGGATCAATGTAGACAAAGTGTTTTCCCTCTTTATCAACGATACCTTGGGGAAGTTTGATGACAGCGAACCTGAAGAGATGGTTAATAATGCTTCCTAGTTGGAACATCTCCGAAGAGGCATTTACTGACCAATCCACATCCTTTCCGTCCATATCCTTACACCCCAACTTAGCACTGGTGCAACTCACCAAAATAAGGAATTGTAGATAAAGCCAAAGCATTTTGGTCATCTCTTAAGTTTGGAGTTTAAGCAAGATATTAGATTCTTCCACTAGAACTCAAGTTCATTAGAAACTGAGGAAAAACATAATAAGGAAGTTTGGGATGTACCTATTACTTGATCAGAAAGCGTAGGCTCTTTTATAGGGAAGACAATCTATTAAGAGTTCATAATACACTCG